GTGGTTACCCCCACAATAAATATATTTCAAGGTTAGCTACTTTATAGCTGTAATTTTGCTACTTTTATGAATCATAATGCAAATATCTGATATGCAGGATATCTGATATGTGACTCCCAATGGGATCACAACCTACAGATTGAGAACCACTATTCTATACTCTTCAATAATGAAGCAAAGTAGTTTTTTCTTTTTTTTCTCATTTAAACCATTTAGTCCTACTTTCTCTTGAACTTTTTTTCCATGTATTTTTTATTATTTATTTTTAAGTTTAAATTTAGATTAGAAACAAGGTTGCTTCAAAAATCAGTTCCAGGTCCCTCTCCCCTCCCTACCCTCCTCCCGTGCCCTCCCCCAAACCCCCAATTATCCCCTCATTTCCCCAGGGAAGGTGAGGCCCTCAATGGGGGTGTCCATAGTCTGTCATTTCATACAGGGCAGGGCCTAGAACCTCCCCCAAGAGTTCAGGGTGAGAGTGCACCTCACATCGTTGGATGGGAGTCCAAAGTCCATGTGTATACTCAGGATGAGTACTGATCTACTGCCCAAGGCTCAATAGATTACCTAGGCCTCCTCACTGACACCCACATTCAAGGGGTCTTGATCTGTCCTATGCTGGATTCCCAGGCTGATGCCTGGGATTCAAGAGTTAAACTTTGTCAGGTCAGCTGTTTCTGGGAGTTAAACCAGCCCAGTCTTAATCCCTTTGTTCATCAGTCCTCCCTCTCTGTTACTGGCTTTCTTGAGTTCAGCTCAGTGCTTAGCCATGGGAGTGTGCCTCTTCTTACATCAGCCACTGAATGAAGTTTCTGTTTCCCAGACTCTCTGGTCATGGGATTGTAGGCTGGCACTCCCCAGATCTATGTCTAAAATCCATATATGAGAGAGTACATGCCATGTTTCTCTTTGTGACTGTGTTACCTCACTCAGGATGGTTTCTTCTAGTGTCCTCCATTTGCCTGCAAATCTCAGGATTCCATTGTTTTTTTCTGCTGAATAGTACTCCATTGTGTAAATATACCACATTTTCTCTATCCACTTTTCGGTTGAGGGGCATCTAGGTTGCTTCCAAGTTCTGGCTATTACAAATAATGCTGCTATGAACATTGTGGAACAGACATCCTTGTTGTATGAATGGGCATCTTTTGGATATATGCCTAAGAGTGGAGTTGCTGGGTCTTGTGGTAGGTTTATTCCCATTTTTCTGAGGAATCTCCATACTGATTTCCAAAGTGGCTGAACAAGCTGGCACTCCCACCAGCAATGGAGGAGTGTTCCCCTTTCACCACATCCTCTCCAGCATAAATTGTCCTTGGTGTTTTTGATTTTAGCCATTCTGACAGGAGTGAGATGGTATCTCAGAGTTGTTTTGATTTGCATTTCCGGGATGGCTAAGGATGTTGATGCCTCTCAGCCATTTTAGACTCCTCTATTGAAAATTCTCTATTTAGTTCTGCAGCCCACTTTTTAATTGGGTCCTTTGCTGTTTTGGAGACTTGCTTCTTGAGTTCTTTGTAAATTTTGGAGATCAACCCTCTGTCAGATGTGGGATTAGTGGATATCTTTTCCCATTCTGTGGGCTGCCTTTTTGTCTTGCTGATTGTGTCCTTTGCCTTACAGAAGCTTCTCAGTTTCATGAGGTCCCATTTATTAATTATTGATCTCACTGTCTGTGCTAGTGGTGTTATGTTCAGGAAGCTGTCTCCTGTACCAATTCATTCAAGGGTACCACCCACTTTCTTTTCTAAGAGGTTCAGTGTATCTGGATTTATGTTTAGGTCCTTGATCCATTTGGACTTAAGTTTTGTGCATGGTGGTAAACATGGATCGATCTGCATTCTTCTACATGCCAGCCTCCAGTTATGCCAGCACCATTTGTTGAAGATGCTTTCTTTATTCCATTGTATATTTTTAGCTTATTTGTCAAAGATCAGATGTTCATACGTGTGTGAGATAATATCAGGGTTTTCAATTCGATTCCATTGGTCTACCTGTCTATTTTTGTGCCAATACCAAGCTGTTTTCAGGACTATAGTTCTATAATAGAGCTTGAGGTCAGGGATGGTAATTCCTCCAGACATTGCCTTGTTGAACAGGGTTGTTTTGGCTATCCTGGGTCTTTTGTTTTTCCATACAAAATTGATTATTGTTCTTTCAAGGTCTGTGAAGAAATGTGCTGGGATTTTAATGGGGATTGCATTGAATCTGTAGATTGCTTTTGGCAGGATTGCCATTTTTACTACATTGATCCTACCTATCCAAGAGCATGGGAGATCTTTCCATTTTCTGAGGGCTTCTTTAATTTCTTTCTTTAAAGATTCAAAATTCTTGCAGTACAGGTCTTTCACTTGTTTGGTTAGCGTTACCCCAAGGTATTTTATGTTGTTTGTGACAATTGTAAAGGGTGATGCTACTCTGATTTCTTTCTCAGCCGTTTTATCATCTGTATATAGTAGGGCTACTGATTTTCTTGAGTTGATCTTGTAGCCTGCCACTTTGCTGAAGGTGTTAATCAGATATAAGCGTTCCCTTGTAGAGTTCTTTGGGTCATTGATATAAACTATAATATCATCTGAAAACAGTGAAAGTTTGACCTCTTCCTTCCCAATTTGTATCCCCTTGATCCCCCTTTGTTGTCGTATGGCAATGGCTAGAGTTGAAAAGGTATGGAGAGAGTGGACAGCCTGGTTTTGTTCCTGATTTTAGAGGAATTGCGTTGAGTTTCTGTCCATTTAGTTTGATGTTGGCTGTTGGTTTACTGTATATAGCTTTTATTATGTTTAAGTATGTCCCTGTTATCCCAGATCTCTCCAAGACCTTTATCATGAAGGGGTGTTGGATTTTGTCAAAGGCTTTTTCAGCATCTAGTGAGATGACCATGTGATTTTTGTTTTTCAGCTTGTTTATATGGTGAATTACATTGATGGATTTTCGTATGTTAAACCATTCCTGCATCCCTAGGATGAAACATACTTGATCGTGGTGAATGGTTGTTTTGATGTGTTCTTGGATCTGATTTGCCAGTATTTTATTGAGTATTTTTGCATCAATATTCATGAGGGATATTGGTCTGAAGTTCTCTTTCTTAGTTGTGTCTTTGTGTGGCTTGGGGATCAAGGTTATTGATGCCTCATAGAAAGAGTTTGGCAAAGACCCTTCTGCTTCTATTGTGTGGAATACTTTGAGAAGAATTGGTATAAGCTGTTCTTTGAATTTCTGGTAGAATTCTGCACTGAGGCCATCTGGACCTGGACTTTTTTTGGTTGGGAGACTTTTGATGACTGCTTCTATTTCCATAGGGGCTATAGGTCTATTTAAATTGCTGATCTGTTCTTGATTTAATTTTGGCAAGTAATAGCTATCCAGGAAGTCATCCATTTCCTTTAAATTTTCGAATTTTGTGGAGTACAGGTTTTCAAAGTATGACCTGATGATTCTCTGGATTTCCTTAGAGTCCGTTGTTATGTCCCCCTTTCATTTCTGATTTTGTTAATTTGCATGTTCACTCTCTGCTGTTTGGTAAGTTTGGACAAAATTTGTCTATCTTGTTGATTTTCTCAAAAACCAACTCTTCGTTGCATTGATTCTTTGTATTGTTTTCCTAGTTTCTACTTTATTGATTTCAGCCCTCAATTTGATTATTTCCTGGCGCCTACTCCTCCTGGGGGAGTTTGCTTTCTTGTATTCTAGAGCTTTCACCTGTGCTGGTAATTCTGTAGTATAACTATTCTCCAGTTTCTTCATGTGGGCACTTAGTGCTATGAACTTCCCCTGTAGCACTACTTTCAAAGTGTCCTATAGGTTTGGGTATGTTGTTTCTTCATTCTCAATGAATTCATAGTAGTCTTTTCTTAAGCTGTTTTTGTCAGACATTTTGTCACAGCATTGAGAAAAGTAATGAGTAGGTAAGCCATTGCTAATTGGCTCAGTATCTACTTTGAATAACTGTGGTATATCGTTATACTTTGTTTTGTACTCTAAGCCATCAACACTCCTCAAACAATTCCTATGTCTATAAAACTTGCTACCACCATCACATAAGTGGTGATGGACAAGGAGAGATCTCCGACTAGCATTCACTAGACACTCTGGTTTTCAGGAACTTGTCTTGAGCTATGTAGTAGTATCCTACTCAGCCAAAGACAGACAATAGAAGCTGCACACTCTCTATCAAGCTATGGCTTATTGGAGAGGGTCATTTGGTGGAACCTCCCAGAGTCATTTCATCAAGTGTTGCAAGCTTTGTATTTGTTCCAAAGTCATGGTCACCCTACTCAATATTATGTTTCCATTTTTTTTCATATCTCCCAGTCCCTCCCTCTCATCTCTTGTTCACTCATTCTTGTATTCCTGAGCACACACCTTTTCTGGTATGACTTTAGAAGACTCCTCTATGTCTCTTTACTAGGGACTTAGATTAGATTCAAAAACGTATAAGAAAATTACACTATTTTTGATTTGATTTGATTTTGATTTTATAAAATAAAAATTATCTTTATGAACACTGGACTCAAATTTCATAAATATTAGCCTCCTCTCTTTTCCATGAATAGGCATACAAAAGTAGATTTACTTATGTATTTATAGAAAGTAAAACAGTGTCCCTGTTTACTCCCCCTTCTCATTTTCCATTTTATTCTGACATTTGTGGTAGGGAAGAGGGTCATAGTGAGTAAAGTACAGTGCCACTCCATCAAAAGTTGTTAACTAGAGAGTTAAATGTTAGTAGACCCTAAGAAATGCTGTGTCAGCAATTATGAGAAACCAACATAGAAAGAATTCTATGATACACTTACTAAGATGATGATACAGTGGGGAAATGGGTAGTGAACATATTACAGAGCATAGAAACTTAAAAATATAAAGGTTATTCTTGTTTAGGCCAATAAATGTCACCTGCCAGGAAAGAAGTCGATGTTCCTTTGAAGTGAGAGTATATATTATTCCTAAAGCATTTAATTCATCAAAGGCTTGCCAGACTGCTCTGTGTGTACACTGACCTGTGAATAGGTACCAGAGGTTATTTGGTTCCAGTGTTTCCATCTCACCCCTGCGGGTAGTCTTTCTGTGTCGAATTTTATAGCCAGTAATAAATCCGTTTTGTGTTCCTGATGGGGGAGGAAGCCAGCTCACTTTGATACTCTGTAAAATAAAAAAAAATGTAAATTAAGATATCACAGAGGCTAGGACAATTGAGCAAGTTCAGAGGACCAACCCAAGAACAAGTGTGAATTAAACACAGAAGCAAGTATTGCAAGACATGACCTCCAAATTAAATACTTTCCTATAATCTGACAGCATTTATAACTGCTTTATTTTCTTTTTAAAAAATGGGTACAATTTATTTGACTGATTACATGCAATACCATGTCTCCCTTGCAAACACCACTAAAACAATAGTAAAATATTGTAAATAGTAAAAGCCACTAAAAGGCAGGAATAGGACACACCAGATGAGAAACAGCAACAAGTTGGAGTAGATTGGAAGCAAAGGAGAAAAATAAGCTTAAGAATATTTTTAAGTTATGTTAATGAAATCCAAGCTAATTTCCACTTAAAAATCATTTTATTCTAGGGATTTTTGCTTCCTATACAATGTGAACATGGTACTAAGGCATGCTGCTGAAAGGGGAGATGACTTGGGAAGCTTGAATATGAGTGAAACTTAAGAATAAGCTAGTCCACAGTCACTGATTGGAGTAGCTCAGAGCTCAGTGCTCAGGGTACTTGAACACAAAGGCCACAGATTCAAATAAGTTATCTAGGAATAATATCAAATAACCCTTCATGCCACAAAATGAAGAACTTTGAACTAAATAAAAGAATCCAGCCTGAGTCCCTAACAGTGAAGGCATAAGGTAACAAGTCCCACCCAGGGACCAGAGTTTCCCTTTGCAAGTTAGCATTTGGAATGTCATTTTACTATAAATTGGTAATTTCGTGTGACTTGATATTAAACAAAGCCTTACACACACACACACACACACACACACACACACACACACACGTATATGTGCAGGAATAAGTACACAATAAATTGATATGAGGGAAACAATAATATTATACCTATGTATAAAGTTGTACACCAAAAATCTAGGAGAGAATGCTCGAGCCCAAGTATAAAGAAAAGACATGGAGCCTGAGATAGTAACTAAGCCTGAAAAATATAACAGTAAAAATTAAGAAGGGGGAAACATTGTAGTGAATTGGAGAGAAAGAACAGGAAACTATTCCTTACACAAGTATAATCACCAACATCTAAATGTTAAGTTGAGAGGATAGAAAGACAACAGGGAACTTGATAAAAAATTAGCAATAAATAACTAATAAATAAATAAGAAAAATGGTAAATAAAGTTAGTCAGCTTCAGCTTTCCAAAAAAAGCCTAGCCCTGAAGAAGTAGAATTTGGGAATAGCTAAAAAAGAACCAGAGAGTGGATAGAGAAAATGTGGTACATTTACACAATGGAGTATTACTCAGCAGAAAAAAAAACAATGGAATCTTGAAATTCGCAGGGAAATGGATAGCACTGGAAGAAACCATCCTGAGTGAGGTAACCCAGTCGCAAAAAGACAAACATGGTATGTACTCACTCATATATGGATGTTAGACATGGATCAGGATAGTGCTAGTCTGCACTTCCACTGATAGAGAGTCTGGGAAACAGGAAAGACCCTAAAAGATATGCATATATGCATAGTACCCAAGAGAAGAGGATTGAGACAAGATCCTCTGAATGGATGGGGAACATGGCGAGGGATGGGGGGGGGGAGTGGGAGCTGGGAAGAAGAGAGGGGGTAAAGAGAAAGAGAGTTGGTCATGAGGGAACAGGAAGTTGAGTGGGTGGGGGTAGAATAGGAGGAAGAGGGAATCATAGGATAGAAGACAGATCAGGCACCAGAGTGACCTCCAGTGATCTAAAGGGATAACACCAATTGGCAAGCTAAGCAATAGTGGAGAGACCACCTCGAATGCCCATTCCTGATAATGAACTTGATGTCTATAACCATCCGGGAGCCTTCATCCTGTGACTGATGGAAGCAGAAGCAAACACACAATTAATCACTGAACTGAACGCAAGGAACCCAGTGACAGAGAGAGAGGAGTGATGAGCAAATTGGCAAAGAATGGGCTGGCAAAACCAGCAGAGACAGCTGATCTGAACAGGGGAGAGCTCTTGGACCCCAGAGCGACAGTGGGGAAGCCAGCATGGGACTGATCTGGACCCCCCCAAATGTGAGTGTCAGCGAGAAGGCCTGGGCAACCTATGGGGCCCTGAGCTGTGGATCAGTGTCTATCCCTGGAATACAAACAGTCATCGTGTGCCTATAGCACAAAGAGGGATGCTCTCTCAGCCTGGACTCTTAGGGGAGTGCCTGGACCCTACCCAGAGTGAAATGACAGACTCTAGATATCCCCTATGTGGAAGGATTTGGCAATAGGGTGGGAGGGTGGGGGGTAAGGGGAGTGCGGGAGGAGGGGAGGGAGAGGGAACTGGGATTGACATGTAAAACAAGCTATTTAAAATTAAAATAAAAAATGACAAAAAAAGAACCAGAGATACTTAATAAAACAAATTAAGAAGTATTGCATTAAAACAGAAACTGTAACAGCTGACCTGACAAAGGTTAACTCTTGAATCCCAGGCATCAGCATGGGACTGATCAAGACCCCCTGAATGTGGGTGTCAGGGACGAGGCCTAGGTAATCTATTGAGTCTTGGGCAGCAGATCAGTACCCATCCCGAGTATACACACGGACTTTGGACTCTCATCCAATAATGTGAGATGCACTCTCACCCTGAACTATTGGGGGAGAGTCTAGGCCCTGTTCTGTATGAAATGACAGACTATGGATACCACCATGGAGGGCCTTACCCTCCCTGGGGAAATGAGGGGATAATGGGGGGGTTTGGGGGGAAGACACAGGAGGAGGGGAGGGAAAGGGAGAGGGACCTGGAACTGACTATTGAAGCAACATTGTTTCTAATCTAAATTTAAACTTAAAACAAACAAACAAACAAACAGAAACTGTGTTAAACTGTCATGAGAGTTAGCTGAGTTCAAAAGTTTCCAGAATGAGGGATGTGGGAGACAGGTCATATAAAATAGATGGTAGAAGTTATCAGGGATGGGGGGATTCAAGGAATAACACTTCGTGTCTTGTTCTGCTGAGTGTTTTTCCCAGTGCCAGTCCTTTCTATAGACAAGGTTTCTCATTGGCCACCAGCCGACAAATAATAACACAGAGACTTATTATTAATTATCAACTCTTGGCCTCAGATTAGGCTTGTTTTTAACTAGCTCTTAAAACTGAAATTAACACATTTATATTAATGTATACTCTATCACATACTGCCCATCCTGTCTCCTCTGTGTCTCCTAAAGTCTCACTTGAGCACCTACATTTCTCCTACTACTTCCCTTCTCTGCCAGGAAGTCCCACCTATACCTCCTGTCTCACTATTGGCTGTTCAGTTTTTTATTACACCAATCACAGCAATATATCGTCACACCGTGAACAAATATCCCACAACACCTCTCTTTCTCTCCCTTTGCCTTCTGAAATGCAGGAAACAACTCTCTGTGTTTCCCTCTTATATCTAATGGTCTGAACAAATTTTCTGGAAGACTGCCTATAGAAAAAAGGACACTACACCTAGCAAGTAGCCAGGCAGACTGCCCCCAAAAATGTCTAGTCTTTCAACCTGTTGGTTTGATCTACAGATCATTTACTCGTCTTTTGAAACGCTCAAAAAGTCCCACTGGATTCTCCCCTGTGCAGGGAGCCTATAAACTTCAACTATCTACCTGGCTCATCTTTGAGTATCATGGTTTGTTTAACTATGATTTTCTTATGCTTTAATAAGTTTGTGAGACCTTATGCCTTCAAAAAAGACAATACTAATTTGATATAAAGTTTGATATTTACAGAATATGTTCCTAACTAGCAGGGCTCATATGCTACAGTCACTGCTCACAAACACAACCATCACCTTCAGTGTCAATGACTGATTGTCAAAGTGGAATATTTTGGAAGGAAGGAAAAGAAACAAAAAGAATAAATGACATTGAAAACATGGACTTTTTCTTTGTTGGACCAAAAGATAGAATTTTTTCTACAGCAAATTGACAGTGGTACCAAGAGAGATGAATTAGTTAGATACATATTAGGAATACTACTCTTCCATATACATTTGCTGAGCATTGGTTTATATCGAGTTCAATTCTCATTTCTTATGTTAACAAATAAAAACATCATGCTTGGGTAGTAAGAAAGCATAGAAAAAGAAGAAAACCCGAATAACACATACAAATAAATATACTCAGTGCATGTTTGTAAAAGTGGATATAAAGGATTTTGTGTTTTATTTCTGAGTTTCTCTAGTAAAAGGAAAAGTAATAATTTAAAAGCTCATGTATCAGACATAAACAACTAAGTAGAAATCAGTAATCCACTGGTGTGGATTTATGATAAACAACCCACATAAGAGTCCATAGCAATGAGAGAAATGCAAATTAAATCTATGTTAAGATTGCATCCAGCCCACTTAAAATGGTTATGATCAAGGAACCAACTGACAACAAACACTGACAAGCATATATGGACCTAGAAACTTTATTCATTGTTTGTAGTATTACAGACTACTTCATTCACTCTGGAGATAAGTGTGTAGAATTTTGAATATATAAGATCAGATCCACTATATGATTCAGTTATACCACTTCTTGGCACATGCCCAAAGGAGTCAACATCCTATTCCACAGGGACTTGCTCAGCTACATTCATCACTGGTAAACTTATAATACTTAAGGAATTGAAATAATCCACCTGTTCTTCATCTGATGGATATATAATAAAAATGTAGCAGATATATACAATATAATTCAATTCAGCTTTACAAAAAAGAGTTATGAAATTTGAAGGTAAATGGTAACAGAAAATATTTTACAGAATGAGATAAGGCAGAACCGGGAAGGCAAACAGCATGCTCTCTCTTATTTGTAACTTCAACCTCTGAGTATTTACATGTGAGTACATAACTGCAGAATACAAGAAAAAAGGGGGGTATGGTGGCGAAGGTCTAAATAAAGGGATTTTAGGACACAAGTGATCTAAAAGGGGAAATGGAAAATGTTTG